AAAACGTCCTCTGAACTTGAAAGATCCGACCCAAGGACTGCGGGGAACTCCTCAACAAAAATACCATATTTATGGATCTTCCAATCGACTGGGTTGAGCGCGGTCGAGCGGATTTTGATCAGGAGCTCTCCGTGTCCTGGCTTGGGTTGGGCTTGGGAGTGGCCTTGGATCCAACGACGAAGTCGCCAAACTTTGCCAGGACTAAAAGAGCTCAGCGCTCAGCTGTCGTGAACGTAGTAGTCTTCTTTCTTGCCGTCTGTGTTCGTCATACTTTGCCGGGATGGTGAAGTAGGCGGAGACCTGCGGAGTAGAGAAAGGATGTGCGTCCAAGTACATCAAAATTCAATCGATATATAATTACACAGCTGTCAACTGCTCTACAAGCCAATCACCCATAAAACTCACGTTTTCTTTGAAAACAGTAGACATTGAGAACATACTTAGTACGATGAACCAAACCCTTTTTCAGGTGAGGGCCTAGAGAGTTTCGTTCGAATCATCATCGAATGTCTAGCTGCATAGCCAAAAGGGGTACTCAAAGTAGTAATGGGCCGAAATTTACAATAGCCACCCATCTTTTAGTAGCTCTTGGGCACTCGGACGCAACTTCAGATCTAATATCAAACATCTGCGTAAGAATGCAGCAGTGCCTAGAATCTCGCTCTCGTCAACGACTTTAAGCTCTCGCAAAGGGACTTCAAGCGAGGATATTTCAGATTCGCTGGTTGTGTGAAGAAGCGTGCCCAAGTGAAGAAAGTCATTAAACGTCGAGGAGAGTATGATCAGATCAAATGAAGTTACACTCACCTTTCTCATCAAAGTATTTGTCCCGATCCTCGCAATCTTTGTGGAATTCAAGTGGGAACGGCCCTAAAGCCTCTACGATATACTGCAAATGGAGTTCATGTGAGTAATTATGAACGTCCTGGCCGAAAAGGGACAAATTGGTGAGAAGCTCAAACAACTGGATAGGATGTATTCAGTATCAGCGGAGCGATATAGGTAACCAACGTACAAGGCAACCGACAGTCCAGATGTCGATGGCGGACGTCCAAGGATATCTGAGGGTGACTTCGGGGGCGCGGATTAGAGATGGTTAACGAAGAAACTCTCTCCTGGGCGCGTCGACGGGAGTGGCTGTTGATGTATCATCGGTAAGAGTGAGTAAAAGTAGAAGGCAAGATGTGCGCACCTTCGCTGTAATCCATCAGTCACACCGATATATCCTCAATAGATTCACAAAGGCTAAAGTACGGTAGAGACTGTGAAAGTGCAAAGACAAGAGGTAAATCCAATGATTTTAGGTTTAGGGGAGGGCCATAAATCAATGCAGACTCCGACTTGATGTTTGCTTATTCGAGACGCCCTTGGTTCAGGTATTGAAAGAACGACGTTCTCGGATTTGAGATCTTCACATATGATCATCAGCATGGATAAGGATGTGTGCAGGATCAGACCCACCAGTGTGAATATATC